AAAGACAAAACCAAAGGAGGGTGAGTGTTGAAAAGGGGGGGCTCAAGCGAGGCATGTAATACTATGTACTATAAAGGCCAAGCTAAAAGGGAAAAAAAAACTTTGGACAACCCAAGAGGTGACAATCCAGGAGGTGTATGCGGGTGCCCGCGGCGGGCACGCTGGCAAAAAGGGGCAACCGTGATGGGATATTAGGCCACAGATATTCCAATATACGTATTGAGAAGATATCTAGGGGCTAACCACTCCCGCTTGAGGACAGGGCAAATTCTATCCGTTATAAGAGCAGAACCAACAGGCAGGACCTGTTAAATGGTGGATCTGTGCGAGGCCGTAAGGAGTAATACAGGCTTATCAAGTAAAGAAGCAATAATACAACAGAACATACGAACAAATGCCATACAGGAAAAACAAATTTCAATACAAAAACTGAGGTCAGGAGAAAACCTATAGAACATTATACCCAGCTTCAGGCATCCGTACTACTTAGGATCCCCAGACTCAGGTGCCAGAACTGTTACCCCATGGAGACGAGCTCAACTAAGCATTGCAAAATATGGAACGGATTCTACCAAAACCCTTATGACACCCACGAGAAAGAGCAGCAGCACCTCTCTTATAACCAATGCTGAAAGGAGGGGGGACACACCCTTAGGGACTGGGGGGATACATGAGCCCAAAACAGCCGCAAGCGCTTACATAAGAGCAGGTCACAGGAGGGTACACCAACCGGCTCCATGAGGCCTCAAAGTGCGCAGAGGTGATGGTCATTCACGCGGGGCGTCGTTTAGGATGTAACAGAGCTCCCACCAATCCCCTGGCAGCTAAACATTGTGAGGTAGATCCCCCTCCCCCCCCCGTCCACCCCCCTCCCCGTAAATAACAACTGCCCCCTATCAAAATCCCGTATCTAGTGCAGAAACTCAAAAAGGATATCAGATGTAACCACGGGTATCATATAGAGTACGTGTCCGAAGCAGGAGCGGAGGCAACTCCCTCCGGTCAAATAAATCCCAAAAGGCTGTAAAAATACCTCAGATGATGCCGGGTCACGGCCCTGGGTTTGCAGTGCAGAACAAACTTGAAGGAGCCGGCCTTACCGAGAGCTTTCACCAAACCTGAACGAGAGGAACTTAAAAACAGGAAGTGAACCGGGCATCCGGAAGGAAATAGAGGACCCCTGCAGTAGGAGCAAGACCGCTCTTCTTCAGTAGTCAGGATACTGCTGAGAGATAGTTCCACGAAGCAATAGGCGCAGGGATCCATAGCAAGAGCAGAAGGCTTGCTTGTTTAGAGCAATGAGAATCCGCAATCTAATGGGGTGTATACCGGGTGTCGATCTTGAACAAGTCTCCTGACCTGTATGCTAATAAATATCACCCCAAAACCTGGGAAGGTGGCATATCAACATGGAGGACTAGAGCCTGCGTAGGGAGCGACTGTAAAGAGGCAACAGTAACGATGCGGCAAACCGTTAAAGCCCAACTCAAAGCCCAAGTAGCTGGCAAACACAAATCAGCAGGAAAACTGAAAAAACGGAGGCTGAAGGCCTGCTGGCGTGGCGGATCATTAGGTCCCGTGCCGAGGCTTCCTGTGCGCGGGGAGGCCGTGGGACTGGAAGTGTCCATAGAGGCCCCTGCAGGGGGTCTTGGAGGTGTCGAAGGGACCGTCCGGCGCCGTCGTTGAGCAGGGCTAGGCCCGCCCATTGCACCATCTTCAGCTCTTAGATCTTGGGCACGCGGCAAGGGCGGCAACCTCATAGACCCGTTCCAATCGGGTAAGGCAATCGGAGGAATATCCAAAGCAGAGCAAAAAGATGGCAGTTCTTCAGGAAACTCGTAGGTTGAAATTATGGCCATTCACTTGAGCAGAAAGGCAGACAGAACGGAAACCGCCATCTATAGGGGATGTTGCGCATGCGGAGAGCATCCAATAGGGGGCGCAGCGCCCGCCTTTGTTGCAGGGTCAGATTGGAGAGGTCCTGATATAGCTGTATCTCTGCCCCCCTCATAGGCAAGATGTCTTCTCCCCTGGCGCATTTGAGGATATCCTCTTTAAGCGGGTAACTTTCAAGACAGCAAATTATGTCCCTGGGAGGGTCTGTGTCTCCCCCCCTAGGGCGGGTCGCCCGGTGTACACGTTCAATAGCAATCATGGTTGAAGGTGGGGCGACCTAGAAGGTCATTAAAAGATAGCTATTACCGCTTTAGGGACATCACAAGGTTCCACTGATTCAGGAAGGCCCCCGAACCCTAATATTGCGTCTGCGTCCTCGATTGTCTAGGTCCTCAATATGTCTAGAAAAATCTCGAATGGTCGACACGTGCAGCGCTGATAGTTGTTGTAGATCAGAAATTGCGGCCTGATTCTGCCTAGTATCCAGCTCCACCCGCTCCACCTTGTGCCCATAGAACGGATGTCATCCCTTAATTCAGTTAGGGCAGAGGTTAATGTGGTGGTTAAGGTTGGTCTTTATATCAGCTGCCACAGCCTGGAGGTCCCTTAATGATAGGGAATGTGTAGCACATGAGGAATCCAGCTGTGGCACTGTGTCCAGCACAGCATATTCGGCTGTGCTTGCAGAGCCTGTGTCAGAGACTGCAGAGGGAGGGGGAGGAGGGGGATGACGCTGGAGAGGGAGAGGGCTGCGGCCCTGCTTTCTGCTGGGAGCGGAAGAGCTCCTTTATATGCCTCCCCTGTGTGTTCGGGCCCCGCGGGGACCGCGATCTGGCCCAGAGGGTGCCCTGTCAGACTTCCCCATGCAGAGGGGAGATGTCTCACCCGTCCGTGCAGAGCGGCAGCAAGGTAAGATCCGGCCGGCGGGAGCTCTGCACCTATGCGGCCATCTCCACTCGCGGCTCGGCCACGCCCCCGGATTTATATATTATTATTATACAGGATTTATATATTATTATTATACAGGATTTATATATTATTATTATACAGGATTTATATTATTATTATACAGGATTTATATATTATTATTATACACAGGATTTATATAGCACCAACAGTTTGCTCAGCGCTTTACAATATAACGGGAGACAATACAGCAACAATACAGTTCAATACAAGAGGGATAGGAGGGCCTGATCCTGGGAGCTTACAATCTAGGAGACTTTGGTGACTATCCTTGGTCTTTTCCCACCAGCTCATTGGTTAATATTTGCTGTTAACACAATTTTATAGGGTCTCATTCCATCCCTTTTGAGATTGTGTTTTTTATGTTCGTTTCTCTCCGTGTCAATATTTCAGTGCATTTGTTATGTCTTCATCAACAGAACTGTACACCCTAATTTTTCTGTGTCAATGAACTTGTCTCTGACTCTATTTTGTTGTGCAGTTTATAATAAAATTCATCGTAAAAGAAATGTCATTCTGTGACATTTGTATAAAGTTAAAGCCCAACTCCAGGCAAAAAAAAAAAAAAAAGTGGGACTCTGTCTGTACTGCATGAGTTAACTGCTCGTTTGTCCAGGGGGGGGGGGGGGGGGGAGAGAAAACTGAAAACTCACCCGATCCTCCACTCCACTGACAAACAGTGCTCCCCCCATGAGCCAGTGGTGGACTGAACCTGACATCGTCACATCCATTTGTCATGTCATTTTTCACACAGATAGAGCTTGTGTTTGGTGGTATTTGATCACCACTGGGTTTTTATTTATTTTTTATATAAAAGAAAAAATTTGGAAAGAAAAAAAAAAAAAAAAACCCCAAAACTATATTTTCTACTTTTTGTTATAAAATATTTTCAATAAAATAATAAAAAAAAAACAAAATCACACTTTAGGCCAAAATGTATCCTGCTACGTCTTTGGCAAAAAAAAAAATCCTAATAAGTGTATATTTATTGATTTGTATGAAAGTTGCAGCATCTAAAAAACTATGGGATTATATATTTGAAAATCAATCCTGATGTACTGACGGCCGATCTCGTTTCTTGAAGCCCTAAGATGCCAGGACAGTACAAATACCCACCAAATGACCCCTTTTTGGAAAGCAGACAGTCCAAGGTATATAGTATGGCGAGTTTAAGTTGTATTTGTCACAATATTTTGAAAAATGAATAACTTAAATTAATTTTGTTTTTACTTTTATTTTTTATTTTTTTAAACATATTGTCACCAAACCAGCACAGTGCAGTGTCATCATATGACTGGTGACAGTATGTTAAAAAAAACAAAAACATTTTTAAATGTTTTATTTGATTTATTAATTTTTTTATTTTTTTTTTTTACATATTTTAAATCAGAGTAGTTTAGTGACACCATGGTAACATGTAAAATGTACTGTGGTGGGTCGGCAAGTGGTTAATCAATCAGAGTTATGATATGAAGGCCTTCTGTGAAAGAGGCTCAGCCCTACTCAGGGGAGGAGCTTTACAATGGACATTCTGCACACCTTGAACAATGCATTTCTTCAGCAGTTAATAACACCCCCCCCCCCTCCAGGGACACTTACCTGCTCCGTCTGCTTCCATTTCTGCTCCAGAGCATCAAAACATGACCCTGCAGAGCTCCTGCACATCATGCTGCTGCCAGGCTGTCAAAACACAACAACAGTCAGGGCTTAGAGCAAGCTAAGCAGACATGATCCTTTAACAGTGTATGCTTTATCAAGGTTTTCCCTTTTACCTTCACTACTATCCCAGCCGAAACTCCGCGTCACGTCTGTCGTTTCAATCGCCCTTTTTTTACTGGTCTGTAATAGGACAAAGAGCCTCTGCAGCTGGTAGGGGATGCTGGTTACGGGGTCCTCCTCGGAATCTTCAAACTCCCACCTGTCAGAATAACATGTTAATGCTAAACATTGAGCAAAAAAAATATAGAGAATAAATCCAAAGATTTATTCATTATTCAAAAAAAATGCATTTTACAAATGTGACAAAAAGTAAGAAATGACAGAAAGAGCCTGTGGGGGAGATTTACTAAAACTGGTAGACACGGAATCTGGTGCAGCTGTGCATAGTAAGCAATCAGCTTCCACGTTTTACCCCCGGTTCACATATATGCGGCCGTTGCGGGCCACGTTTTGCGCGGACACGGGATCCCATTCATTTGAATTGACTCCCATGCCCGTGACACGCAGGGAAGAAGTCCCTGCACTTCTGAAAAACGCAGCCGAGGTTCCCAGTACATAAGTAAATAAATATAATGGCGCCTATGGAGAGAGAAAAATGTGGGTCACTAACTGATATACCAGCTGCAAAATCCAATAAAAATTATTTAAAGTGTGAAAAAAATATAACACAAAAATAATTTACGCTAGTAAATAAATATTACAATATGCCTTGTGAACAAAGAAAACATAAATATATTATCCATGTGAGTAATATTTATAAATACATAATTAAAAAAAAATTTTATATATAAAAAAATGTCAAAATTTAAGATGTGTAGTACAAATCCGAAGAAAAGTGCACAAAAAATGTGACAATCCACCACCAAAAGCACTAAATAAACTCACCAGAGCTATTAAAAAACTGCAGAATATTACTCCCTGAAGACACATCCATGAGTGGTTCATTATTCTGCTAATACCATCGCCCCCAGAGCAATATATGCTTCAGTTTTTTTATAGCTCTGGTGAGTTTATTTAGTGCTTTTGGTGTGGTGTGGACTGTCACATTTTTTGTGCACTTTTCTTCAGATTTGTACTACACATCTTAAATTTGGACTATTTTTGGCCCCTTTTTATATAAAAATAAGAGGTTCCCAGTACGGTTGTGTTTTCCAGGGCGGGCGGCGTGCCATTAGAACTAATGGCACCCGCCCGCGGGTCCGCATTCCTCTGTGCGGGTGGTGTGGCTGCACGGATTTTCGTGCGGATCCGCAGCGGCACCGCCCACACAGATGTGAACCGGGGCTTATTGCCAAAGTTTCACTGAAAAAGCTATATGCACAGCTGCACCTGATTCTTTCCGCACAAATGTTAGTAAATCCCCCCCCCCATGTGTCTCTTTAATCATAAATGCTTCTCCCTGCTGTCAGCCCAGCTAAAACGCAATCCTGTTCCAGGACAAAAGCTCCTGTGTGTATGTGCGGTAGTTGCATTAAACCGACCTAGCCAATCAAGATGGCCGAAGGCTCCAAAACCAACTGAAAACTGGATAAAGATGGACATGACAGCAACGGAGGGCGGCACAGAGGGCAGCACAGAGGGCAGCACAGAGGGCAGCACAGAGGGCAGCACAGACAGTGCAGCACTGGAAGAGATCAATATGCTGGGTATGTGTGCCGTGATGTGCAAATATGCTGTGCACACTATGGCTAAATAACTTCTGGGGGGGGGGCCAATTTTTTCTTCTTTTTTTCTTTTTTCTTGGCCTTCTGCTTTAATCTGGCCTGATAAGCCTCCCTTGACTGGGAGCTGGAAGGGCAATAATTGGAGCCAATCAGGACTACTTACAGCACTCAACATGCATAAAAGGAAAGCAATTTGATGGGCTCATCAGTGTGCGGCTTCTCCTACACTGCCCAACCAAAGGCTGGCAGAAGGGAGGTGACCAATAAGTTCTGCTTAACCCTTTTGCTGCCAAAGCCATTTCTACATTTGCACACGTTTAAAGAAAAAAAAAAAAAAATTTTAGGCCTGAAGATTGCACAAAACCCCCCAAACATTATATATTTTCTGATAGCAGACACCCTACAGAATAAAATAGTGGTAGTTTAAATTTTTCTGTAAAAAATTTCAGTTAAAAAAAAAAAAAAAAAACCACACTAAATGTGATTTTTAGGGCAAACAATCAATATAAATTACCCAAATTTTTCGTAAAATATAAAAGACGAGGTTGTGCAAAGTAAAGATGCCAAACCTTAAATTTGTGTGGGTCTAGGAAATTGCGTCATAATTCAGTACCCTATACTTTCTACAGAAGACACCTCAAAAACCTCTATAGGTGGTCATCAGTTTAGCGTTACAGAGGAGGTCTTGTGCTAGAATTATTGCGCTCACTCCGGTGTGCGTGCAATCGACATTTTCACACGTAGGTGCCTCGGAGTGTATGTTTACCTGCGTATATGTTGGGGGTGTTGTGCTTGGGTGTAACTTTTTTTTTTTACTTAACTTTTTTTTTTCATCACATAGGGGACATAGTGATTTTTGGGTGACAGGTTCTCTTTATTCAGCCATGCAGGGTCTAAAAGACCCCCAATGTCTCATCTGTGATCCGTTAGATGTATTGCAATGCGGTTTGCATTGCAATACATCTTTCCCCGGCTGGGAAAGTGACAGCTGTGACCCGGAAGTCACACAAAGAAGGTGAGGGGACCAGTCAGAAGGGGAGGGGGGAGCTGAGCAATCAGATGCAGTCTAGTCCAAACTGTCATGCAAGGAGAAGAAAGAAAGAAGTGGGGATTTCAAATCCCCACCACTTTCTCTCCTCTTCTACCACTGACACTCGGCATGGGATGACTACAGGGAGGTTTCCCGCACTGCTCCTGTGTGAACTCGGGCTATGACAGGCCTGGGTTCAAGAGCAGTGGAGAAATCGCATGCGATTTGGATAGAAATTGCATTCCTGTTCAAGTCAGACTCATCCACCTCACCACCCGCTCCACCTCTGCCACCCCCCCTCTGCCTCTCCCTCCACTGGCTCCCGATTGCCCAACGTATCAAATTTAAACTTCTAATCCTGACCTACAAAGCCGTTCACAACACTGCCCCTGACTACCTCACCAACCTGATCCCCAAGTACCACCCTACCCGTACCCTTCGCTCCTCACAGGACTCCTTCTATCCTGCTCCCTGGTCTCCTCCTCCCATGCACGACTGCAGGACTTCTCCAGGTCCTCCCCTATCCTCTGGAACTCACTGCCCCAATCCATCCGACTGTCGCCTTTCCTCCCCACATTCAGGCGCTCCCTCAAAACCCATCTCTTCAGGGAAGCCTACCCCACCCTCACCTAACGGCCATTCTCCCTCATTCCTCCCACCACTTCATCCCCCTCAGCCACTTCATTCCCCTCAGCCACTTCCTATTGTTCCACTACCCCCTCCCTCCTAGATTGTAAGCTTGAAAGAGTAGGGCCCTCTTACCCCTCGTACACTGTCTGTTATTGTTGTACTGTGCCATGTATTGTCCCCCCTATTGTACAGCGCTGAGCAAACCCTTTGGCGCTATATAAACTCGATGTAATAATAATAATAATAATAAGTCGCATGCTATTCTTTTCTGGTGCAATTTGTATCCATTAATGCAAATCGCACCGCAAAGTATCGGTACTCGGTTATCAGCGAGTACATGGCCGAAAGTATCGGGGGTACTGGTACTCACTGATAAAAAAAAAACCGATATTGGTGCATCCCTAATTACAGGAAGGAAAAGAAAAGTCTCACACTGGCTCACTGCACAGATCTGGAAGAAATACACAAAGTACACGAGATTCAAGAAGACACATGAAAAATGGATTTGGATGATATTTGCCTATCCCAGAGTATTAATGGAGCAGGCCATGCAGCTGAACAAAATATGAAAACATACTGGAATGTTCAATCATCAATCTGGTCTCCAAATATCACCCAAACTGTACTCTCCGCTCCATCGCGCGACCTCCTGCTCTCTAGCTCCCTTGTCTCCTCCTCCCATGCTCTTCTCCAGAGCTTCCCCCATCCTCTGGAGCTCTCTACCCCATTTAACAGACTATCGCCTACTCTGCTCACTTTTAGGCGCACTCTGAAAACCTCTCTCTTCAGGGAAGCCTATCCTGCCCTCAGCTAATTACTGGAATCTTCTACTCTTCCAACCAGTTCACCCGCCACAGTTACTACCTTTTGTACCACTAGCCCCTCCCTCTTAGATTGTAAGCTCCCAGGATCAGGGCCCTCCTATCCCTCTTGTATTGAACTGTATTGTTGCTGTATTGTCTCCCGTTATATTGTAAAGCGCTGAGCAAACTGTTGGTGCTATATAAATCCTGTATAATAATAATGTTCCCATGTGCACAAACAAAAAAAAGTTACAAAAGGGTCTAGGAAACAACTGTTGGGGTTCCAGCGAAGAGAACATCAAAAAAATTAGCCATCTGGCTTGACGATCACCACCAAAAAGAAAAAAAAAAAAAAAAAAAAAAATGAAAAAGAAATTAGGCGCAATACTAACTTGTAGAGAGCGTTGCGGAACTCCGGGGTCATATACAGTGTCTGCAGCAGGCTGTTCAGGTAGCAGGTCATGGCCTGGTTTACTAAACCCACGTAACCTGGAAGCAGAGAGGTGAAACTATCAATCAACAGAACCAGAACAACATTTTCTAGAGACAGACGCGCCATGGAATCGCAGCACAGAGGGAGCACACATACCAGTGTCTGATTTATTGAGCAGTGATGAATAGGAGTAGTTCTGACTGACATAGTCGCTCGTGCAACCCACAGAGCCGTCCCTGGGAAGAGGTCCAATGAACTTCTCCTGCGTGCTGTCATCGTGGCCGCTGCTGTCCGCTGTGCCCGATTCATCCTAAACCAGATCACATGTTAAACAAGAATGTCTCGAAGGAAGGCCTGGATTCACCTCTGGAACCTCCCTAGCAGTCTGATTATGTCCATATTTCTGTGCTCAAAGCGGTACATTTTTTTGCATGGAAATATGTGTCTTTTTTATTGTAGGCTGTAATTTTTAGGAATAACTCACTGAAATCTGTCCGAACAAGAGTCTAGTAAACATCCCGGGGATGATCAAATTTGAAACACGAAATCATAAATTATATTCTAATAAATAATCATAAAAAATAATAATAATAAATTTAATTCAATAATATAATCAAACCAAAAACACTGAAATGTGAAATATAGCGCCAAGTTCGCACATCGCTGAGCTCAGTCACAGAATCGTTTTCAGTGTCTGATGAGGAATTTCCCCCACCAATCATTATCACTCAATTCTGCAAGTGGTTCTGATTTACTATCGCTGTTCTCTAGCCGGTCTAAAACCGCTTTTGACCTAAAGGGACGCTTTTTGGACGCCATGGACGTTTCTCAGTTTCCAGGCAGAAAGAACAGTAAAAATGCAGGCAGGGTGCCGGACAAAGCACTCGGGACAGAATATATGTGAAATGGTTTGATACAGGAATGTTATACTATGTGATTTTAGTGTATTGAGTGAATGTCACTTTTTACATTTTAAAATTTCCCGCCAGTTCCGTCCCCCGTACGTCCCGACGTTGCAGGGACCGGAACCCAGAAGATGGATGCCGGCATCGGCCGGAGGACATTGCCGAGGGGACACTGCAGGGGGGACATTGCGGGAGCGCAGGACAAAGTCAGTGCAGGAGGGAATCCCTGAGCAACGCTGCAGAGTATTCCTGAGTGTAGCTCGGGGGGGTTACCGCTTGTGGTGCTGAAACTTTACCCCGAGCTACACTCAGGAATACCACCAGGGGGGTTAATGCCAGCAGTGCAAGTACCTGAATTTTACCTAGTATCAGCCTCTTGCAAACTACTAAAAAGCCTGGATCAGACTTGAGGAAAGAGAAGCAGCACACAGCCAATCGGTTGTGCAGCAGTGCTTATGTGCTAACAAGGATCATGCCGATAGGTGGACAGGGCAGGGTGACAGGGAGATGATCTCAAATGTTAAGTGTGCATGGGGCCAAAATGGGAAAAGTTCCACAATTATGTAAAATACACCCACGGCCAAGGCCTTGTCCCGGGAATGGTATGTATGCCGATGCCTAACCCTAAATATTTTGGGGAGGTGCATCCAAAACCAATACACTAGAGAAAAAACCCAAATAAAAGGATACAGCACCTCAAAAGACTAATCAGCAGTATATATATATAAATATATTAAGGTGTATACAACACATATCATCATACAGTGCAGGGGCAGCACAGTGTCTAAATGGTTAGCACTTCCGCCTGGCAGTACTCGGGTCGATGGTTCAAATCCCAACCACGGCACCACCTGCCTGGAGTTTGCATGTTCTCCCTGTGCCTGTGTGGGTTTCCTCCCACACTCCAAAGACATGCTGGTAGGTGAATTGGCTTCTGTCTAAATTGTCCCTAGTATGTGTATGTATGAATGTGAGTTAGGGACCTTAGATTGTACGCCCCCCTTAGATTGTGAGGGTTAGGGACTGATGTGAATGTACAGTATATATGTAAAGTGCTGTGTACATTGATGGCGATATATAAGTACCTGAAATAAATAAATAATAAATACAATGCATGTACCCTGCTCCTATCCACCCCTCCCCCGTCCCAACACTCCACCTGTGTATGATGATATGATACGATACATGTGTTGTATACACCTTTTACGTCCTTAATAAATTATATCTATACTGCTGATTAGCCTTTGAGGTGTTATATCCTTTTCTTTGGGTATTTCTCTTAAAAAGTTCCATGAAAAGAGCAAGAAGCCCTGACAGCTATAGAAGAGTGCACCCTGCCAGGAAAGGGTAAAACCCCATTCTCAAGTCTACACGTCTGAATGGCAATGTGCCGGAGTCACCTAGAAAGGGTGGGCGGAGAACTGGTGTACCCGTCCAGGGTGCATGTATCCTTCAGTGTATGTGAACTCTGTGCTTCCCTAGGAGTCAATACTGGAAAAGGAACAGTAACAGAAGGAGATTGATTGAATGCAGTTCACACAGAGGAGTGCTGATGGCCACGTCAGTTTAACTGCTTGCTGCCCAGAGTACGTCTACAGTATATAAATGCCTAGGCAGCAAGAGTTTATACCAGGATCATAGCTGCAGCTTTTTTTTTTTTTTTTTTTTTAAACAGATTTCCTGTAAAAATGATTCAGCGGCTTTAGAGCTGCCTGATCACTTTTACAGTGCTCAGAGGGGCACCACCCTTCTGTTCCCAGGTTCTCCCATTCTACCAGGTCAGGCTGGCTGCCCACAAAAGAGATGGAGAAAAACATCCGTTCCCTGATCTCCTCTGTGATGAATGAAAGCAGAAGCGACAAGGATTGAGCCACTTCCACATTCAGTGCTGTGTTTTCCTGACTGTTACAGCCACGGAAACATCTGATTAAACACGATCTGTGTTTGATCAGATACTTTGAAAGACATGGGGGGCATCGGGGGTCAAATAGATAACTGATGACTTCAGAAAAAAGTACCTGTACTACCCAAATCAAGCCGTAGTCACCCATTGTGACCGCAATAAAGTTAAATTAAAAAAAAAATACATATATAAAAAAATTTTAAAAAAATTGTTCCAGTATGCAAGCAGTTAATTGGTTTTCATGCCGCATACTTCCTTGAGTTCTCTTACCCACTGGTGGGTGTTTGCTTTGTTACAGTGGAATCTTTGTTACAGGCTGGCGTCCTTTATGTAGGACAAGTTAGTAAAGGTAAAATAGATGGGGGAATTCCCAGGTCTTTATCCATAGGCCTCTGGTCACAAAGGTGTTACAGAAGACTCAAGGAAGTGGGCAACTCTACAGATATGGTGTAATGTGTCATTTAAATATAAAAATGTACAGTGCAGTGCTTCCCGGAACAAATCTACCAACTAAAAATGCAAAATATATAGTAAACATATAAACATTAAAAGTGAGCATGCATCAATAAAAAGTGAGAGCATCAATAAAGTGCATGCAATAAAAAGTGAGCATGCATCAATAAAAGTGAGCATGCATCAATAAAAAGTGAGCATGCATCAATAAAAGTGAGCATGCATCAATAAAAGGGAGCATGCATCAATAAAAGTGAACATGCATCAATAAAAGTGAGCATGCATCAATAAAAGTGAGCATGCATCAATAAAAAGTGAACATGCATCAATAAAGGAGCATGCATCAATAAAAGGGGGCATGCATCAATAAAAGTGAGCATGCATCAATAAAAAGTGAACATGCATCAATAAAAAGTGAACATGCATCAATAAAAAGTGAACATGCATCAATAAAAGTGAGCATGCATCAATAAAAGGGAGCATGCATCAATAAAAGTGAACATGCATCAATAAAAGTGAGCAAGCATCAATAAAAGGGAGCATGCAACAATAAAAGTGAACATGCATCAATAAAAACCATGTATCAATAAAAGGGAGCATGCATCAATAAAAAAGTGACCATGCATCAATAAAAGTGAACACGCATCAATAAAAGTGACCATGTATCAATAAAAGGGAGCATGCATCAATAAAAGTGACCATGTATCAATAAAAGTGAGCATGCATCAATAAAAGTGAGCATGCATCAATAAAAGTGAACACGCATCAATAAAAGTGACCATGTATCAATAAAAGTGAGCACGCATCAATAAAAGTGACCATGTATCAATAAAAAGCATGCATCAATAAAAGTGAGCATGCATCAATAAAAGTGACCATGTATCAATAAAAGGGAGCATGCATCAATAAAAGTGACCATGCATCAATAAAAGGGAGCATGCATCAATAAAAGTGAGCATGCATCAATAAAAGTGAACTTGAATAAAAAAAAAAAAATGCATATCAATAAAAGTGACCACTGCATCAATAAAAAAGTGACCATGTATCAATAAAAGACCATGTATAATAAAACACGCATAAAAGTCGACCAATGTATCAATAAAAGTGAGCAAGCATGCCATGTATCAATAAAAGTGAGTTCCATGAGCAGTGCATCATCAATAAAAGTGAGCATGCATCAATAAAAAATGTATTAAAAGTGAGCATCAATAAAAGTGACCATGTATCAATAAAAGGGAGCATGCAATAAATGAGCAGCATCAATAAAAGTGAGCAAGCATCAATAAAAGGGAGCATGCATCAATAAAAGGGAGCATGCATCAATAAAAGGGAGCATGCATCAATAAAAGTGAGCATGCATCAATAAAATTGAACTTGATTAGATATAAAGTCTCTCAAAATTAAATTTCTCCAACTTGAATAAAAAAAAAAAAAAAAAAAAAAAAAAAAAAGATTCTGTCTTCATACAAATGAAATCCTCCTTGAAACAACCACCAGATGTGAGCATTTGACCTGACATCATGTCATGTTTTTACGGTTGTGAAACCGTTGGAGGAATTTCCCTTAGTTTTCTGTCCCAATGACAACATGGGATTTCCAGGGAAATCTTTGCAGACAGCTACAAAAACACTTTCCACGTTCACGCCATATGTGCAGAAAAACTGATGCGCAGATTTCACTTGCAGTGACATTAGTTTACATCAGTTTTCATTTGCGCTTCAGTGATTTTTTTTTTTTTTTTTTTTTTTAACACGTTGCAGATTTCTGCACAGAAAACAAAATCTGCACATAATACCAGTGTTGGAAAGGGCACACAGAGAACAATTGATTTAGCTACAGTCAGGTCCATAAATATTGGGACATGGACACAATTCTAACATTTTTGGCTCTATACACCACCACAATGGATTTGAAATGAAACAAACAAGATGTGCTTTAACTGCACACTGTCAGCTTTAATTTGAGGGTATTTACATCCAAATCAGGTGAACGGTGTAGGAATTACAACAGTTTGCATATGTGCCTCCCACTTGTTAAGGGACCAATGCAGGGTCCGAGGAGAGCGGATATAGTGAATGCGGGGGGTCCGGGGAGAGCGGATATAGTGAATGCGGGGTCCGGGGAGAGCAGATATAGTGAATGCAGGGTCCGGGGAGAGAGGATATAGTGAATGCAGGGTCCGGGGAGAGCGGATATAGTAAATGCGGGGTCCGGGGAGAGCGGATATAGTGAATGCAGGGTCCCGGGGAAAGCGGATATAGTGAATGCGGGGTCCGGGGAGACGGATATAGTGAATGCAGGGTCCGGGGAGAGAGGGATATAGTGAATGCAGGGTCCGGGGAGAGCGGATATAGTGAATGCAGGGTCCGGGGAGAGCGGATATAGTGAATGCAGGGTCCGGGGAGACCGGATATAGTGAATGCAGGGTCCGGGGAGAGAGGATATAGTGAATGCAGGGTCCGGGGAGAGCGGATATAGTGAATGCAGGGTCCGGGGAGAGCGGATATAGTGAATGCGGGGTCCGGGGAGAGAGCGGATATAGTGAATGCAGGGTCCGGGGAGAGCGGATATAGTGAATGCGGGGTCCGGGGAGAGCGGATATAGTGAATGCAGGGTCCGGGGAGAGCGGATATAGTGAATGCAGGGTCCGGGGAGAGCGGATATAGTGAATGCAGGGTCCGGGGGAGAGCGGATATAGTGAATGCAGGGTCCGGGGAGAGCGGATATAGTGAATGCAGGGTCCGGGGAGAGCGGATATAGTGAATGCAGGGTCCGGGGAGAGCGGATATAGTGAATGCGGGGTCCGGGGAGAGCGGATATAGTGAATGCGGGGTCCGGAGAGAGCGGATATAGTGAATGCGGGGTCCGGAGAGAGCGGATATAGTGAATGCAGGGTCCGGGGGGAGAGCGGATATAATGAATGCGGGGTCCGGGGAGAGCGGATATAATGAATGCGGGGTCCGGGGAGAGCGGATATAATGAATGCGGGGTCCGGGGAGAGCGGATATAATGAATGCGGGGTCCGGGGAGAGCGGATATAATGAATGCGGGGTCCGGGGAGAGCGGATATAATGAATGCGGGGTCCGGGGAGAGCGGATATAATGAATGCGGGGTCCGGGGAGAGCGGATATAATGAATGCGGGGTCCGGGGAGAGCGGATATAATAAATGCGGGGTCCGGGGAGAGCGGATATAATAAATGCGGGGTCCGGGGAGAGCGGATACAGATAATGCAGGGTCCGGGGAGAGCGGATATAGTGAATGCAGGGTCCGGGGAGAGCGGATATAGTGAATGCAGGGTGCGGGGAGAGGGATACAGTGAATGCAGCGGGGGAGCGGATATAGTGAATGCAGGGTGCGGGGAGAGCGGATATAGTGAATGCAGGGTGCGGGGAGAGCGGATATAGTGAATGCAGGGTCCGGGGAGAGCCAGATATAGTGAATGCAGGGTGCGGGGAGAGCGGATATAATGAATGCAGGGTCCGGGGAGACCAGATATAGTGAATGCGGGGTCCGGGGAGACCGGATATAAGTGAATGCGGGGTCCGGGGAGACCGGATATAATGAATGCAGGGTCCGGGGAGACCGGATATAATGAATGCAGGGTCCGGGGAGACCGGATATAATGAATGCAGGGTCCGGGGAGACCGGATATAATGAATGCAGGGTCCGGGGAGACCGGATATAATGAATGCAGGGTCCGGGGAGACCGGATATAATGAATGCAGGGTCCGGGGAGACCGGATATAATGAATGCAGGGTCCGGGGAGACCGGATATAATGAATGCAGGGTCCGGGGGAGACCGGATATAATGAATGCAGGGTCCGGGGGAGACCGGATATAATGAATGCAGGGTCCGGGGAGACCGGATATAATGAATGCAGGGTCCGGGGAGACCGGATATAATGAATGCAGGGTCCGGGGAGACCGGATATAATGAATGCGGGGTCCGGGGAGACCGGATATAATGAATGCGGGGTCCGGGGAGACCGGATATAATGAATGCAGGGTCCGGGGAGACCGGATATAATGAATGCGGGGTCCGGGGAGACCGGATATAATGAATGCGGGGTCCGGGGAGAGCGGATATAATGAATGCGGGGTCCGGGGAGACCGGATATAATGAATGCAGGGTCCGGGGAGACCGGATATAATGAATGCGGGGTCCGGGGAGAGCGGATATAATGAATGCGGGGTCCGGGGAGACCGGATATAATGAACGCAGGGTCCTGGGTTTAGTAACACTTTACTGTTGTGGGTTTAGTAACATTAAGTCTTTCCTCTAGACAAGACTGCACTGTGTGGGAGAGCTGTGTAAGTCTTTATCTCACCATTTAATATGGACTGAGTCTTTTTCGCTTATACCATTGTGCAACTTATGTATCTGATTTTATTAACTTTATTAGCGCTGCATACTCTTGTTTACAAGTCTCAGGACTGGATGGATAGAAAAACAAATCCTTTGGTCGACAAAATAGCTCCCTTATTTGATCTCTATATTGAAAGGTATGCCCAGGAGTTCAGTTATTTATGACAGCTGGAATCAGATTGGCTTTTATGAACCAAAGACATATTCTCTTTAGCTATGATGAATTGGATTCATGAGCTCATTGTGGGCTCACGCTGATCAGGAAAAAGATGTCCCACATGAAACCTCTGAAGTGCAGACTTGGGGTGAAAGTTGTATATTTTTTAGGGGTGTACCAGAGGCTAGTGGGATCTTACCGAAGTCAGCTGTGGCTGCTCCCCGTTCTTATCCGTTATATGGAGGAAATTCTTCTTCCCCGCCTCAAAGCCAGCATCCAGTAGAGAATGATCCGGGTTGGGATCCAGCTCAGCCTGAAAAAGATGATAGCAACTGGACTTGAGAAAAATGATAAAACGCCTTCCCGCCATCTGCTGCAATTATTTACAGGCAAACTCTGCCCAGTGACAATATTCTATGAACAAAAGTACACCATACAATAAAAATGTGATAAAACCCTAAAATGTTATTACAAGACACAGCCGCTGACCTCAGCAACTTACCTTGTGTCCTGCTTGTCCTTTGTCTTCCCAACTCAGCGTGTCCTGTGTCGCTGCAATGGCTTTCCAGTTTTAGGGTGGATATGAAGCCTTGCAGGATCCTATGCTGCCCGCTGTAGCCACCCTTTCTTGTCGCTCATGAACTGTGATCTGCACCAGACATTCACAGGTAGTCCAGGACACCAGAAACCGCAACGTCAATGGCGGGGTATGCATGTGCAGTAGTGCAAGGATTGATGGGACATGTAGTCCCAAAGATCAAGTGGCTTTGGTGGAAGATCATCTGAGTGTGTGCTCCCCTACTGGAAGTTCGGGGAAGTGGCACAAAAGGAAGCCCATAGAAGCAAAAAGATTAAAATATTGCTCTGGGACACTGTTGAAAACCACATTCCCCTGATCAATGGGTCAAAAGGGAAGTACTACTAATGAAAAAAAAAAAAAAAAAAAAAAAAAAAAGGAAAAGCACAGGCCTTGGTACTATATTGTAACAAATACAGCCCTGGAAGATTTCCCCCCCATTCCTGACCAGGCCATTTTTTCTATACAGCGCTGCAGTACTTTAACTGAGACTTGCACGCTCATGGAAGGCTGTACATAAATTACATTTATATATATTTTTCCCACAAATAGAGCTTTCTTTCAGTGGTGTTTGACCATCACTGTTGTTTTTTTTTTTTTTTTGCGGTATAAAAACGAAAAAAAGACCACAAAACAAAACAAAAAAAAAAATATATATATATATATATATATATATATATATATATATATATATATATATATATATATATATATATACACACACACACACACATATACATATACACACACACACATATACACACACACACACACACACACACATCTATATCTCTACACACACACACACACCTCTATATATATATATATATATAAATGTTTTATAGCAGATATATAAATATATGTATCTATGGAGATAGATAGATAGATAGATAGATAGATAGATAGATAGATAGATAGATAGATAGATGGATAGAGCTATATAGATATAGATAGAGCTATATATAGATAGATATAAATAAATATTAAAATATATATAACAAAAAATTTAAGATATATATATATATATATTTATATCTTAAAACTTTTTTTTTTTATATATATATTTTTTAATATCTATTTATATCTATCTCTCTATCTATATATAGCTCTATCTATATCTATATAGCTCTATCCATCTATCTATCTATCTATCTATCTCCATAGATACATATATTTATATATCTGCTATAAAACATTTTTAAAAATCAAAATTTCTTCATAAATTTAGGCCATTATGTATTCTGTTACATATTTTTGGTAAAACAAAATCCCAATAAACTTAAATGGATTGGTATGCGCAAAAAATTTATAGCATCTACAAACTATAGGACATAAAATGGAATTATTTTTTCACAAGCTCTCCATACCTGGAAGCCTCATTAAAGCCACGCAGTCCAATATGTGGACAAGGAGCATTGGTGGACGAGAGTTTTTTTTTTTTTCCTATCGATTTTTCCATTATATGCCGCTACTGAACTGATCATGTATGTGGCCAAGTAAATCATTTTATTCTAAAACACAAAATCTACTGCAAGGTTGGAGATAAAAAATTATTGCAAGCAGTAATTATCTATGTAAAAGAAACTTAAATTCTGTCAAAAACGGTATTCTGTTTTGTGTGTTTTGACTATGTATTGCACACGGCACTAATAATGTTTTCATTACATTTCCTTTGCATGCTTTCTTTCAAATATTTCAAATTCCGCAGTAGTTATTCATTTGGAACCTCTAATCAATAAGAGGATAGGCGTTGCCTATCAATACTTTTTCCAGAACAACCCGTCTTGTCCTCCTAGGACCCCCAATGGACTATTGAAACTTGTCTAAAAGTTGCTGCAATTGGGAAACTCTGGACACAGTGAATAGCAGAACCTATATATACAATATACACCACCTGCCCACACATCATAAACTGGTAAGTACTCATTTACAGTGTATTGGTGTCATTATTCCCTTCAATTAATTTTTTTTTGAGGGGGGTCCTGAACTCCAGTACCTTTTTCAAGAAGCCAAAAAACAAAAGCTGATCTGATCACCCACCATGCCTTCCGTGCTGCCTGCATTCCCCCTCTTCAGGCTGAAGGAGCCGCTCACGTAGCCCACTTTGCTGGCCACATCCTTGAAGAGCTGGTGCACGGTGGTGGAGGCCGGGAGATTCAGAGTGATGCGTTCATTGATGGTCTTGCAGTTGGTGGTATCTTGGACTATGCACAGCACTCGCGGCTCGTCGGCAGCATTCTCTATCTGGAAGAGATGGCAGAGGTCAGAGGACTACGTCTACTGCAGGAGATGTGACAGCGCCACGCATCAGACTTCCAACAAAGAAACAATTAAAGAGTAACTGAAGACAAATGTTTTCAGAATGTTCCAGGGTCGAACCCCTGTCAGATTTCTATTAGTCTGTTGACCTGTTTGGCAGATTTCATCACACTTCCTGTTTTGGCAACAAGACAGGAAGTGAAGGAAAAACCACAATGAGAATTTAGATACAGTGGTGTACAGAAATGAAAATTCTGGTGCCAAAACCAAAAATTCAAAATGCACTCGGCCAAAAACCGAAATGCGCAGTTTTTAAAAATGAATATATATTTTTTTTGGGAAAAAAAAAAAACCACCCTGATTAAAAAAAAACCCCAAAAAAATAAAAAAAAACAATATATACCCCCAATTTATGAAAGAGCATGTTATGGCGAGTAGATAGACACCCAAACATGTCATGCTTTAAAATTGCGCACGCAATTATGAGCTCATACTACACGTATTCTCGTGAAATGGCGTAAAACTGCGGTACTAGAAATCTCCATGGGTGATGCTTTAAAAACGTCTACAGGTTAGCAGTGTAATGTTACAGGGGAGGTCTAGTGCGGGAATGATTGCTCTTACATCCGGGGCGATACTTCGGGTGGTTTGAACACCTTTAACATATGTGGGCGTGGCCTACGTATGTGACCACCACGGTGGGATGGGGGCACTTTAAACTTTTTTTAAAAAAATGTATTTAATGGGTTTAATTTTGTTTGTTTTTTTTCACTGTCCCTTTAAAAAAGGTTTTAATCTCTTCTATTCTTATCACAAGGAATGCAGGAAATAATTAGTGACAGGTCCTCTTTATGGACCTCTGCAATGTTGGATCAAAAAAAAAAAAAAAAAGCATTGATTTAACCACTTGAGCCCCAGAGGATTTACCCCCCTTAATGACCAGGCCTTTTTTTGCTGTTTGGCGCTGCACTAATTCAAATGATAATTGCGCGGTCATGCAATGCTGTACCCAAACAAAATTTACGTCCTTTTTTTCACACAAATAGAGCTTTCTTTTGGTGGTATTTGATCACCTGTGCGCTTTTTATTTTTTGCGCTATAAACAAAAAAAACCACAAAAATTTTGAAAAAAAAAAAAAACAATATTTTCTACTTTCAGCTATAAAAAATATATCGTAAACTCAAAGTTAGTCATAAATTTAAGCCAAAATGTATTCTGCTACATGTTTTTGGTAAAAAAAATCCCGTGCATTAGCGGGCAAACTGGCGCTATCTAGGAGGGGCGCTAACACTATCGGAAGTCACCAGTGACACTAATACAGTGATCAGTAAAAATCTGTTCACTGTAATCAATGACACTGGTGACAGGGCAGTGAAGGGGTTAACTGGGGGGGGGGGCGATCAAGGGGTTTTTTTAAATGGGATTTCTGGTGCACTAGCGGGCAAACTGGCGCTATCTGGGAGGGGCGCTAACACTATCGGAAGTCGCCAGCGACACTGATACAGTGATCAGTAAAAATCGGTTCACTGATCAGTGACACTGGTGACAGGGCAGTGAATGGGTTAACTGGGGGGGGGGAGATTAAGGGGTTAAATGGGATTACTGGTGTACTAGCGGGCAATCTGGCGCTATCTGGGAGGGGCGCTAACACTATCGGAAGTCGCCAGCGACACTGATACAGTGATCAGTAAAAAATTGGTTCACTGATCAGTGACACTGGTGACAGGGCAGTGAAGGGGTTAACTGGGGGGGGGGGGGGTGATCAAGGGGTTAAAACGGGATTACTGGTGTACTGGCGGGCAAACTGGCCCTATCTGGGAGGGGCGCTAACACTATCGGAAGTCGCCA